TCCACTGATCATGGGGGGAGTGGACCTGGGGCGGTATTCAATCCTTCCCCCAGGGGGATATATCCCCCTACTCTGATTCAATCCTCTGGGGGGACAAAAAAGGGTTGCGTCATAGGACCTCGCATACCTCTGTGTTTCTACCTGCCAGACAGTTAGAGCAGCGCGACCCCTCAGGGGAAAGAGTGCTTCATCGGTGGAGGGTAGTAGCGCTGCTCTAACTGTCTGGCAGGTAGAAACACAGAGGTATGCTAGGTCCTATGACGCAACCCTTTTTTGTCCCCCCAGAGGATTGAAGGATTGAATCAGAGGAGGGGGATATATCCCCCTGGGGGAAGGATTGAATACCGCCCCTGGAGTTTGCGCAGCGAAAATGGCGGTTCCGCGAAGCGAAACGCGAATGCATTAGTCATCGGACGAAAAACAAAAGGACAGCAACGGGATCGTAACTGTCGCACAGCATTGGATGCGTATCGATCGTCGGACTTGCCTGAGTATTCGACGATTAGATGCAGTTAGACAGTCAGACAGTTGCGATCGTTGCTGTCGGACGACCGACTATGCGTGCGCCGCCCAGAGAACCACACCCAGCATTCAAGTGAGCGTGTCACTTATAATCTTTGGGACTGAGCGTTAGGGAGGAGAAGGGATTCTGAATGAGTTCGAGCAATTTCTTTTCTCCTCGGCATTTCCCCTCTTCTGGGCTTAACAGTGGTTCACAGTTTTTGAATGCCCCCTTTGGCTGGTGTCAGAGTCCGCGATCCGTCGCAGGTTTCGCGATTTTCGCGATTTGCGCGAAACCTGCGACGGATCGCAAAAATTGCAAGTGCCCATTTGAACATTTGAAACACTGAATATGAAACAAGTGGAATCATGAGCAGTCGTCATTCAGCCATCACTATCAAGCAGAAGTGGCGGCGGGATTGGAGAACACCTTGCAGTATTGATCGGGCCTTGTGATTTCCGTGACCCGTCGCGCGAATCGCGCGAATCGCGAATCGCGACGATCGCGGACTCTGACACCAGCCTAATCTACTACTCTCCAGCGATTTCAATCGATACGTATCCAATCTTGTCAGCGCAATCTCCTACTCTACTACTATCCTAATATCCTGTCGCCTACTATCCTAATCTCCCGAGTCGCGAACTATGAACGCGACCTAATCGTTGTAGCTGCTTTTGATCCTTTCGTTATGCATTAATAAGTATGAATTAAGCGGGGATTTTCAAATATGTGTAGTTCTTATTGATATTTTGATTCTCTAAAAAGTGCTTTCTTTGTGTTTCGTTCTTCCAGTTTGTACCGTTCGACGTATTGTTGTTGTTTTTTTTTGAAGCTTGGCGCTCAACATATTTTTTATAGCGCAATGATTCCATATAAGAACCAGATGGCGATGCCCTGGCAGACTCAAGCATTATTGGATTTTCCGCTATTTTCTGGTATGTGCGCATGGTTATGTCACATAGGTAAGATTCAATTTTGTGAAGTTTTAATGTTATTTTGGAATTCTTTTCCCAGTTGTAGGGTTGTCGGTAATGCGCGTAGTAAATGAAACTGAACGCTATTTCTTAATTATAACCCAAAATCCCCAGGAACAGAAGCCTTCCCCTATGGTCTACGCATTACTCTTGACTCGGATTTTAAACCGCGGCAGTTTGCTGCCTTCACGTGCGCATCCTCGTCTGAACAGCGGCTCACTAGAATGTTACCTCACTCACTGAAACTTCGGTCTCATGGTAATGCGGTTGTAACAGTGGAATACCAAAATTTGGTGCTAACTTAGTTGGGGGAGGGGCCGCGGCGGCGCGGCAGTCTGCTCACCTGGGCTCTCT